GCACAAACATATGAAGTATGAGCGCTCTGCGCGGATGAAGTTTTTGGAGTCTCGAGTTTCCCAACAACTTGTTCATAAACAGCGGGGGCCCCTGCGAGTTTCCCAACAACTTGTTCATAAAATGTTGGCGCTCTGCGCGGATTTCTTGAGTGTGCGCCGGACCTCCCTCCCTGGCGCGCGGAGCGCGCCAGGGGAGGCGCCGGAGGCACCGCCAGATGGGGCACAACGCGGATTCAAGAAGTCCGCGCGGGGCGCCACGAGTGTACACCCTGCGAAATGCTTAAGAAATCATGGGTTAAGAAATTCATAGTCTCAGAAATTGAATAAAAACCCACAATTTCCACTCAAATCTTAGGATTTACATTGAAACATGAAGAATAATCGAGACTCTGGCCAAAAAAAAAGGTTTTCTTAAGCATCGCCCAAGGTGTAGGTTGATGCTCTTCGAGGTAAGGGCCAGAGCTCCAGCCGTCGTGGTCGGTCCGCCTCGCGACCGCACCCCACCGGTGACGTCGGCGTGGGGAGGCACTGGCTCCTCATGGAGCCGCAGCGGCGATGCGTCAACGATGCGGCGCGATCCTCCGACACCCTCTACTCGGACCCCATCTGGGAGGCCTAGAATGAAGGGGAACTGGAACACACAAATAAATACACACAAATAAAAATAGTCCCCATATTTTCCCATATTTTCTGGGTTTTTGTCTTCCCCCCCAATTCCCATATTTTCCCATATTTTCCTGGGAGTCGAGGATTAATTGTGTCTGTGTTTTTTCCCTCCTGATAGAAGTAGTTCCTTCTTCAATTTAATCGGCGGCGAGCAAGGGGGGGAAGTGGGAAGGAGAAGGCCTTCTCAGAAGGTTCGGAGGTCCCCCGGCCTTCTGAGAAGTTGTCCTAGCTTTCCCCGAAGACACAAGAAACCCCTCTGAAGGCGCGAGGGCTTCTGAGAAGTCCCGCCGCCTCCTGAGAGGGCCTTCTCCTTCTCGCTAATTACCCTCCCTCGCTTGCCGCCGACTGTTGGGGTCGACGATGGAAAAATTCCTCCTTCGAGGTAAGGGCCAGCTCTCGGGGGCGGCCAAGAGGGGGGCGTCCCAGAGGGCCAGAGGGGGGGGGCGCAAATCATGGCCAGGGGCATGTGCGCGGCCCTGGGGGGGGGACCAGGGACATATCGAAATGAGAAGACGCGCCATGAAATCTGGGGATGAATCATGGCCCCTGCCATGGTATCCCCCCCCCTAGTCATCACCCCCCTCCCCAGAGATCCGATGTCATGGTTCTTTCGATACGCGGTCCCCGGAAGTCTCGACCCATTCCCCAGGACGGGTTTTTCAACCCGAGTCCTTTTTCGACGGTCCCGAGGCCCGGCGAGGGCCCCTCGGGGCCGACATTTGCGAAAAACCTCTGTCTTGATGTTTGTCAATGCGTTGGATCTCTGGGTCTCTGCCGCCGATACATCGCCGATGCATCGGCGATGCACTGGCGACGCATCGCCGACGTCGGCGATGCATCGGCGACGTCGACGTGAAGCAAGTCGAGCTCCACGTCGAGTCCCGCCGGCAATGCATCGGCGATGCGGCGCGATCCTCCGACCCCGCCTGCTCCGATCCCATCTATAGGGGAACAAAAAATGGCATAAACATGAAAATTCGGAGGTCCGCGCGGATTTCTAGGATCAGCTCTGGACCCCCCTCCCTGGCGCGCGGAGCGCGCCAGGGGCGGCGCCGGAGGCTCCGCCGGGGGGCCCCAGCGCCGATCCGAGAAATCCGCGCGGACCTCCGAGTTTTTATGTTTGTGCCACTCCTTGTTCCCCTAATCTAGGAGACCTAAAGATCTCTGCCGCCCCCAAAGATCTCTGCGCCCCC